AGTCTAACCCACAATGGAGCAAGGCACAAGAGGATGCTCTTGGAAGTATTAAGCTCAAGGGACTCTGTCCAGGTTTGAGAAACGCTATGTGTGAACATGGAAAGGAACTGGAGACAAGTTTAACCATCCTCTTTTACTTCAATGGTACACTGTCTGTAAATTAATGTCTCATTCTCTCAAAAAACAGTTCTCAAGCCTAGATGGGAAGAGATGAGAGAGGGTTATTAATGCTTAAAAGTCCCATCTTTTTTATGAAGTTGTTTATTTCCTTTCTCCTTTTATTGCTTTTTATTCTCTCCTGAAGATGACAATATATTTCTGATGTAAAAACTAACTCATTCTGGGCTGGGGAAATAGTTGATTTGTTATAGTGTTTTGTGTGCAAGGGGCCCAAGTTTGATCTTCAGAACCCACATAAAAAGCCAGGGTGGTAGAACCTTTTATTAATGTCAGTGCTGAGAGGCAGAGACAAGGTCTTGTGACCTCCACATGCGCAAACACACATTCATACACTCATACACAGGTGTACACACTCATACAAACAAACATACACAGAGGAACATGTTTGTACAAAGGCAGATACATACACACGCACACGCACACGCACATGCACACACACACATTCACCCTCTAATTTATTGAATGCCAAGATTTGTGTATTTCTACACTGAGGTCTGATTAAAATATGGAATTGGTCCATCTCCATATCTATTTTCCATCTTCACCCTCATCAAGTTCATATGTTTTTGTTGTCTTAAATGATTTGGTCATCCTTTGCAACACAGATTTCCCCTTTTAAAATGATCACTATATGTTTTGTAATCACTTCAAATGGCTTAGTCTACATGTTTTGTTATCTTTGCCACAACAATTTTTCAGCAGAGGAGACATAAAGTAGAAAGTCTGAGGTATTTTGGCCCCATTTTAAAGTTTTGTTGGTATATAAGCGGTTAGAAATGAGTTTCCATTTGCATGGACAGCCTTTTCTGCATAAATGGCTCAGGTACATGCAGATGTGCTTTGTATCTTTCCTTCCTTATCCTTGGCCTCTTTCGAGGTGAGATGACAAATTCTCTAGAGATGAATTTTTTTTGTAGGTCCCACGATGTTTAATGTGGATCTTGGAATTAAAAAATGTGGCGTGTGTGTGTGTGTCTCTCTGTGTGTGTTTATATGTGTGCATGGTCATGTAGCTATGGACCCATGTGCATGTATGGCCATGTAGATGTGGATAGAGGCCAGAGGCCAACTTCAAATGTTTCTCCTCAGCTACTATCCACTTTGTTTTATTTTTTGATAAAAGATGTTGAACAATGATTGGGTCTCAAGTACAGACTGTGTTCATGGAAGGAGGTGGTGGAACTAAAGAATCATGTCAAGCCACAATGAGAGATTTGGTGCTTTTCCTATCAGAAAGTAAGAGTTTTCATTTATGGAATATGAAAGTTTTCTTTTTATTGATTGCATATTTCTTGATATCATTTCTGTATTCATTTGAAAGCAGTTCAGGATTTAGCATTTGAACCTCCCCCTCCACCCCCGCTGAGAGTGATAGCCCCAAACCATTGTCTGAGCTCATGTTCATGTTTCACTTTTCACTTAAAATTGTAATGCAATACTTCAGGGCTGCACGCTATTGGACCTTGAATGACATGAGACTATTTCCAGAGATGACAACAGTCTATAAGGAAGAAGAGGGACAACAGTTGAGCATTTTCAAAGGGGTGAACCATTGATTTTGAAAGAATTGAATGTGAGGACCAAAAGTGAGTGAGTGATTCAAACAAAGGCATATTTTTGGAATGTGTTTTCTCTCTAAAAGTGCATGTAGATACTTCAAGAAAATGTCCACAGTATTGGATTCAGGACTTTAGACATTTAGAATGGTGGCAACGCCACCAGTGCTCTGTATTCTATCAGCCTTTGGATTTGTGAAAAAAATGTAGCCCAGGCCAGCACCTGTTGTAGAAAATTTTAATCCCAATCCAGAGTTTCTACTCCACCTTTGATCATTTAGTTCCTGGATAAAGACATATATGAACTTTATAGTTACAATAAGCCTTAATCAGCTCTAGGGCTGTGCAGATATCTAACCTCTATGCTATTAATATCCATTTTCTATTGATAACCCCAAGTTATTACTTACTACATTTTATCTGGGCTGCTCTTAATTGACCGGCACTCATGGTCATTCTTTCTTGACTCTTAACTCATGGCATCTTTTTCCTCCTTCTTCACCTTTTTCTCCCCTTTCCTCATGGTCTCCTCCTACCTCAAGCCAGGGTACCCTCAATCCCCACCTATGTCTCTTCTGCCCAGCTATTGGCTATTGCCATATTTATTCACTCAATCACAAGTACCTTGGAGGCAAAGACACATAGCATCACTTGGATCTATGTGTGGATTCTCTTGTCTCTAGGTCAAGCAGATCTTGGGGCTCACACTTAGCATTACAATACATGGCAAAAGATCATACCTCAACAAGCATCAAACTCACAAATTTCCTTCCTCCACTTCCCAAGTGCCAGGATTACAAGCATGTATCACCATCACCATGCCTGTCTTGATATAGATTAGTTTTTTCTTCATGGTATTGACCAATATATATACAATTCTGTTCATTGGTATAATCCAAGAGGCCACCTTAAAAATTTATAAAAGATAGTAGTGTAAGATATAGCTGTTGGTTTAAACTGTTTAAATCAACTATTGGCTACTTATTACACAAAACAACTTACATTTTTTGTGTATTAGTTTATTTATTGGCATTTTGTTTCTATTCAACATATAGATTGTTACAAAATAATGCAAGAGTTCTATACTTCATCATGGCTATTCTTAATGAAAAACTATATAACATTTCTCATTTAAGAAATTCCTGAATAAAATGTTAAAAACCACACATTAGAATAATTATATTTAGCATTACATCAAAACATTAGCACTTAATTCACACAACTAAAGCATAACATAGATTTTAATAAGCAAAGATCAAAATATCATTTATGATTTAAAAAGTAGATTTAGAAATCAATGCACCTGAATCTGAGGGGCTTTTGCTAAACTAATCAAACAACCTTCTAAGAAAGGATTTCTTGGCAGGAGTCAAGACTTTCCCGGAGCCTTTTTTGTGGAGGGATTTCATTGGAGGTTTTTGTAAGGGGAGGCTTCTTTTGGGAGTTTGTAATGCTCTTGCTATCTGTACATGCTCATTGCAATAATACTTGTTGCTTCCTTCTGACAAGTGGATGAGTGTGCGTTCTTCCAAATCCATGCACTGGGCATGCACCCAGTGCCCATCCCCATGAGAACAATAGATCATGGCAGGTTTATTGAGTTCAGTTGAATAGAATGGAACCCAAGTATTGATGTCCACATCACAAGTAGGGCAACATGTTATCCAGTAGCCAGTTACAGACTCATCATCTTCATCATCTTCATTGTAGGTGTCAAATTCATCATCACCATCAAAACTGGTTGCTTCGACACTGAAACAAAATTCTTCTGAGTCTTCAAAGGGAGTGGAGTCCCCAGGGTCTTCTGTTGATGTCTGACTCTTTGAGACAATTTTCTGCTCTTCATTCACACCATCTTCAGAGCACCTCAACATATAGAAATAGAATGCTTCTGACATAGCTTGCTTATTGTCTCCTGGTATGCCAAGGAAAACAGTCCCATTTCCCATGTTGCTTCCAAACCACATTTTGCTATGTTTAATATCTGGGGTCCAGTCTGGAGTCTCCATCTCACTAATTTCAATCGTGTTGTCCCCTAGAGAGACAACACTGCAGACCATCCTTTTTTGATTTTCTAGCTGATAACCACCAACAATAACAAATTCATCATTATTTGTTTGAGTGAGGATTGCACTGGAGACAGAGATTCCTCCTGGCAAAATTGTGCAATTCACTGCTGGGGTACCTAGGGGAAGATCTACTCTTATTCTATACAAGTTGTCAGGGCGTATGTTACTGGCGAGTGAATGTCCTCCCAAAATATAAATAGTATCATTTCTGGCAATAGAAACATGAAAAGACAGCCCATCCTGAAGTTCTGGGAGAATATACGACGTAGCACACCCAAATTCAAAATCTACCAAGAAAACATGGGGTAGGCAGTCAGTTACACTATTCCATTTTTCTGTGGTTCTCTGGGAAGAAGGCATATATGACCGTCCTCCAAAAAGAACACCCATACTTTTTCCTCGACTATATACCACGTCAATGGAATGGCCGTATCTGGCTTCAGGAACATCTCCTACTAAGTCTTTCTCTGTGCAACGGAAAGTAACTTTTTTGTTATTCTTGCAAGCGACAGACATGATATAAATCTTATCAGAAAGCTCATTGTTTGGTGTTTTCCCTCCATGAATGATATATTGATGCTTGTCAGAGTCTATGCTACCTTTGTACGAGCAAGTAGCTGGGTAACGAAGAGGTGGGAGGTAGCAGGAATCTTTAGAGAAAATTGCAGGCTTCAGTTTTAGATGATTTTGTTTTATATCAAAATGAAAGACTCCAGTAGGGCAGGATCTCTTAGGCCAGCCTTTTTGGCCAAAGAAGAAAACTTGACCATCAAAATTCATCAGTGAGAAGCCTGGTTGAATTAAGGCTATGTTATGACCCACTGTTACCATCTGCAGGGACATTTTTTGATTGTGAGTAGGTCTTTTATCTGAAAAAATTATAAAACATAGTAACTTAGAATATCTTTTCATATTAATAATTATGTCTATATTCTTCCTCATACAAAAGGCTTGTTTAAAAGAAAAGTCGTTTAACGTGCTTGTTATAGAATCGTAAGACACTTCCTCCCCGCAACTAGGAAACTAAGAGCCACAGATACTACTTTATTTATCCTAGCAGCTAGGACACGTTTTAGTGGTGGACTGGCTTTGCTTTGATTTCTGGGAATTGTAGTTCTTCTTTCCTAGCGAGCCCTTGCTTTGAGAGGCCTAAGAACTACATTTCCCAGAAATCCATGTTCCATGGGTTGTGTCGTTGGATTAGTTGTCTTTGTTAATTCAGGACAGAGACCTCGTAGGCTGTTTGACTGGATAAGGACTCCAAAAGTGCGAAGTGACTAGATGGGCGCCATGGTGACGGACAGCTAGGGAACGGGAGGTGAGAATTCCGCCCTCTGTTGACATTGGGGCGCTGGAAAGCAAGAGTATCAGGAGGAGCGCTGCCAAACCGGTGCCTAGAAATCGTCTCCTGGGACTCTTAATAGGGTAACCCGGTAGAGGCACCCGTGCTTCTGCCCTGAGTGTGATTGCCTGGAAGCCTTAGTTTGAAGAGAAATTATGGTTGTAGTGTCTCTTCTGACTCTGCACTGGATGTATAGAAGCGAGACTTAGAATTGCATTCTGAGGACTCTTCGCTTGATGGGACAAGAAGTTAGGAAAGTTGAGTGTCTTTAAAAACAAAAAGACGAGTCTCAAAATACCTACCATGCAGCGCAGCGGAGAAGAAACAGCTTGAAATTGAATTTTTTACCGTTCGTGCACTTACTAATGGAAGTGTAATAGTAATTAGGTGGTTGCAAGGGACACTTTGGAGCCCAGGCCCTTCCAGCTCAGCAGCTTTCCTTCCTTTTTGTTTTGAGGATTCTTTCAGGGAAACAGAGAAAGTTCCTGAACTAGCGCCCCCCCACCCCCCCAGGAAAATAGAATTATCCTGTTTCAGTTCACTTTACAGCTCACAGACTGTGAGATGACGCTTGAGTAATTTTATATTGAATACAAAGAGGACCCTCTTTCATATTGTACTGCTCTACGAAATATTTATCAATAAAGTAAGCTTGGTAAGTTATTACCTACCTTAGATATGAAGTGTACTTCCTGCTTGTAGGTGTGAAATGCCCTTATTTTGGCACTAGATGTTGAAACAAAATAAAATTTACTTATTAAAGTAAGTTGTTTAAAAAGAATCATAAAACAATGGTCACGATTAGGACTCAACCCTATCAGACTAGATTCAAATCCTGGCTGTCACTTAGTAACTACATGACTTTAAGCAAACTGTTTAACCAACTTTCTATAACTTGATTTTCTCATCTGTAAAATGAGGTAATTTTACCCACATGGCTTGATGTCAACTTTGATTAGTAATTTATGACTTGTAAAGAACTGAGAACAGACCTTGTACACCGTAAATAGTAGATACCATCATCTTTGAACTAATAGTAAGACTGTTAGGGTCCAGTTATCTGCTGACAATGAGAGCATAGTACATGAGAGATGGTGGAGATGGTTAGAAGGGACTAAAGGATGTTGGGATTTGGTCAGTGGATGCAGATAGGCAAACCTTTTATTCTTAATTAGTTTTTTTCTTTGACAGTTTCATACATGTATATAGTTCATTCTTATGATTCAATCCCCCTTTTATCTCCCTCCTGTCCCTGCCAACCTTCCCTTCTTCCTAAAAAAATTTTCTCACATTTCCTACATTAATATCTTTTTGTTTGGGTTTTGACCCACTGAGTTTAACCAGAAGCATCTTTGTGGCCATGGGTTTGGAACTACGCATAGATGCTTGGAATGCTCATGAATGTCTGTACACCTGGAAGTAGTGGCTCTCCCTACCCCTTTCCCCTCTCCCTCTCCCTCTTCCCTCTCCCTCTCTCCCTTTTTCCCTCTCCCCTTCTCCCCTCTACC